TCTCTCTTGCTGGCCTTGAATAATCAAACTTCCCCGAGCTCTGCAGCTGCAAGGAAATGAATTCTGCCAACATTGTGATCTTGGAAGAGGACCTCAAATGTCAGATGAGAACCCAGCCCCAGATGACACCTTGATCACAGTTTTGTGGGACTTTCCACATAAAATCCAGTTAAGTTGTATCTGGGATTCTGAACCGTATAATCTATGAAATAATAAGTGTTTGTTGTTTGAAGCTCCTAAGAAATCAGCCAAAATTAAAGTACCACAACAATAAACATTTTGGAAAATAAAAAGGGTGATACAGAAAGTTAAATAAAGTGTAGGGCATGCCTGGGTGGCTTATGAAACTGGGTGGTGAAGAAAGCCCTCTCTAAGAGGATGGAACCTGAACTGGAAAAATGAGCCATCCACAAGGCATTACAAAAAAACACTATGGGCAAAGAGGTAAGCTCGCTCCAGGGCCTTGAAGTAAAACTTTGGGGTGTTCCAGGATAGAAAGATAGCCAGAATCACCCCACCTTAGGGGAAGAAACAAGAAAGAGGTGAGAGAGGGCAGGAGCCCGATTACAAACAGCTTCTAAAGAGGGGTAAGGAGTTCAGATTTTAAGTACAACTGGAAGCTATTGGACCATTGATGGTGGATGACTGACATATCCAATTTATGGTTTTAAATGAAATTATGCTAACTGCTCTGTAAAGGACTGATTGCAGGGTGGCCAGAGTGGAGTCAGGGCGTCTGGAGACAAGGCTCCAGCATTAGCCTAGACAAAAGATCATGGAGCCTTAGACCTGAATTGGGGAGGAGGTGATGGATGTCTTCCAGGGAGTGTTGGAGGGTATGTGAGAGGGGTCTTGATGGGGTGGGGCATACACTGATGTTTACACTCGTCTTGGGGATCCGTATCCATGAAGTGGTACTGAGGTGCACCCAGCAAGAGAATCACAGGTACTCATAGCAGTCATGTGCTCCCTTGCCTGCAGTCTTTCGCTGGTGGCATCCTGTTCCTGAGCTTCTGAATGTCACTGGTGATTCATCAAGCACACAAATGGTGTTGTGGCAGTCTGGGCGGGATTCTCCCTTGAAGGCCCTGCTGAAGGGAAAACTGGATCCCTCTTGCCCCCCCCCCCCCGCCCGCCTCCTGGCCCAGCAAAGCTGCCCTACTTAATTAATCATCTTCTCCCGGCTGAGCGTTCATTAAACAATTTGTTGTGAACTCTTTCCCGGGGGGCAGTGTGCCCCCACTTTGACAAGGAAATAGTTAAATCTGGAAGAGAAAATTGCCCAGCTCAGGCCATCTTCCTTCATATCAGAAGAGAGAAAAGATTGGGAATAGAATTCTTCCATTTTCATGTTGGTTGTGGCAGTTTCCTCCGAAGTCACCTGCAATTTCATCTCTAGACTCTTGCCTCCAAATTGTCTTTCTTCATTCTTGCTGTCTCTTCCTGTTGCACCTGCTCCACATCCATGGCTATGCCTAATCAGCTCCAGGCACTGCAGATGTTGTCCTCCATCCTTCTCACTTGCAGCCCCATTTTACCCCTCGGGATTATGTCTGTGCTCAATTATAGATGCCTGCAACCCAAGCCTGGGTGAGAGCTAAGGCTGTGGGGCCTTTCTGTCCCACTTTGTGATAACTCTCTATAGTTCAAGTGGCTGATTGCTCTGCTGTATCCATGAAATGGCTGTCATGGGTGGTTTACTCTCCAAGTTCTTCAACAGGTCAAGCCCTAGAGATTACCTCCTAGAGAGCAGGGACTGGCCAGGTTCTGAGAGGGGTGGTGCTGATATGTCTCTTTGACATACAGGGTTCTAGAGGTCAAGGCATCGTTTTTTGGGTTGATGCCCCAGGCTCTCAGTTTGCTCTCTCTACTGAGCAGGGAAAGGGGAAGTGCAGCTTCTGTTCTAGTCTGTTCCTTCCCTAGTTCCTAGCTCACAGTCAGCAGATGTCAGTTGCCTGGGACTTCTGGACTCCGAGGGCTGTGTCTAACCCAATTGGAAAGAACCCTAACTAGAGAAGAAACGGAATGCCCTCCAACCCCTGAGAAAGTCAACTTCAAGAAAGACTACCCTTCAAGGGACCAGTTCTTAGTGGCTTTGTTCTCTAGTCTCTTCTGTTGGTGCCTAATGGTACCCACAAGGTATGTGGACATCCCTTTCTTCCTGAGACTCTTTCGGAAGACATGGCTTTACCTAGAGACACAGGTAACAAGGCACCAGAACAAATTAAGAAGGTGACCTCGTCTGTGGATGAGATGGATTTGCTCCAACCTGGATGGTGCCACAGTCAGCAAGAGGCAGCTCTGAGAACAGCAGCTTCCCTGAATCTTTCCATGATGCTAACACTGTACCTTAAAGAATGGTTTTGCCACTTGAAAAACCAAATTGCATGTCCCTAAAAAGCAGATTTACCTGGGCCCCTCAGTATTAAAGGCTTGGATGAGCTTTCCCAGTAATAATTGAGGCCCCCATCTTAGCCCTGCCATATATCTTGCAGAATAAAGTATGGAGAAATAGTCCTTGAAGGCCAGGGTTTAAAAAAACCGTGAAAGGTGTTGGCCAACCAGTTCATTCCCAGTACCATAAAATATTAGCACTAGAAGGAACTGGAAAGTTCATCTCTTCCACTCGTTCTCAACTTTAGTTGTACATTAAAATCACCCCCAGAAGCTTCACTTGGATAGGTCTGGAGTAGGGTTCTAGCATAGGTATTTTTTTAAAGAACTCTGCAGGTGATTAAATGTACAGTGGCTGAGAACCACTGCCAGGACAAAGGTAAGCAAGGCTCTCATTCATTCACCCTATAGAAAGGGGCCTCTGACTCCTAATTAAGCCCAGGGGTTTTCAGAGCTCTTCCCCAGGCCCTGGGCTTTTGAAAGGTGCCTCAGAGTTCAAGGGCAGGGCTCCAGGCATACTTATATCCCTCACTGTCTGCCTCCACACTCCATCCTGGGAGGGTGCTCACCAAGGTCTTAGATAAATGGGACATAGCCCAGTGGCCCTACCACGGTCACATCTATTGGTCAACAACTGTCACTCAGTTCTGTCCCTTTATTGTCTGACCAGTGATGTGTTCTTTGGCTGGAAAAAATAAACCAGCCAATTACACAATCTCTTTCTCTGGAGGCTGACTTCAGCAGGCCAGAAGGAAGTTGTCAAAGAGCTGAAAAGTCCTGGAGACTTAGCACCTGGGTGGGATCTGAACCTTGTGCCTGGCCTGAAGAGAGGGGAGAATGGAAAACCATTCAGGAGCCTCCAATGCCATCAAAGAGGTGGAGATGAAAGAAAGCCAGCCCCCAAGGCTCACCGGATTCATTCTCTGCCCGAGGCCCGCTTGCTCAGCTTCTCTCGGATTCCTGGGAGACCTCTCTAGAGCCTTAGGAAAGCCTTGTTTTACCAGAGCCTGCCTTTATATATCCAAAAGAGTCTTAGAGAGAACACTCACTACAAACAGAGCTGCTCCACTTTTATCTTTTTACATTTTGGGGGTCCACATAAGATTTGGATTTCAAAGGGAAAACCAAAAAGCTTCCATTGCTAAAATACAGTGTGGAAATCATCAAGCTCGTTTGACTGCTTGTTTCACTGAAGGGGATCCTGAGGCACAGGGCAAGGAAGCAATGCCTGGTTTTGTCAACCTCTGCCTCTGTGGGAGGCTAGAAGGAGCAGTGTGGAACTGCTGCACAGAGTCACCATGTCCCCTCCCTCCCCCAACCTCTGCCATAACCACAGGTGTGGGGCTCACCAAGGAGGCATCTCTGATGTGGGGCATCCTGACTCTAATAGCAGAGGGTTTTGTAGCCCTGAGTGATTTTTCCTTGGAAATACCCTGCTTGACTTTGGCTATGTTTCAAGGGAATAAGGGTAAGCCTTCAATAAATTCAGGACTCAAGCAGAATCCCACAACTCACAAGCCCCCAGAATCTCTCCATATACCTAGAGCAACTCACTTCTGTCCCCAGCTTGACCTGCAGACAAAGAGCCAGCATGGCCCACTCCTTCACCCTCTGCCTCTGTTCAGAAACCTATAACCTGGTGGCTCACAGAAGGGACCTGAATTGGGTGTTTGCTCCAGGTGCCTAAAGTCTAACTGACATTTGTTTCTATATGCAGGACTCGCTTTTCCTTCTTTCCATAAATATTTCTAATTCCCTCTGTACAAGCCCAACTCCCCCTCTACTGAGCCCCACACAACCCATCCATCTACCTTTGTCTGAGGAGTAGATGGTGATGGACATACCCAGCGGTCAACTTCGGCTTGGGACTGAGACTCAAACCAGGACACCAAAAAGCACAATTTAGCTCTTACAGGGAAAGAAGATGCACAAGAGGAGTGGACTTTCTGTTACTTCCCATGGGCTGGACCCTATTCCCACATGGCTATGCAGTTCTCCTTATGCAGAATCCCTTTAGAAGGACACTGGAGTGGTCCTATGGACATGACAGTACCATCATAGCATAAGAGAGACAGATATAAGAGAGGGTCTAATCCTGTCCCACCACCACCTTACTTGAAAGGGCAGCAGCTTTAGGACTTATAAGTCAGAGGTGAAGACAGGCTTTTGGACAGAAACTGCCCAGATAGCACTTGCTTCAGGCTTCCCACACCAATGCCCAGGGCATGCATATAATGAAATCCCCAAACACTTCCTGGGCTCATGCGTGCTCTGTAACCACCTATCTCATGATCATCTCTGTAAGTATCTCTCTGCCATAATCACCCATCTCATGATCACCCCTGTAAGTGTCTCTCTTACACACAGGCAGTCAGATCTGAGCAGAAGGTAAGGACTGTGTCTTATTTTCCTTTGCATCCCCAATAGCTGGTGCAGTGGTGAGGAGCTAAAGGCAACTCAAGAAGTGCTTGTGAATCAGTGGATGAGTAAATGAGGACCCCAGTCATGTCATGGTCCCCTCTGCCATGCCCTCTGGCCATTCTCCTCAAATTCTGGTAACCAGGACCTTGTCCACTGCCACCCCCCAGCCAAGCCTGCAGCCTTACCTCCCATGAGGAAAAGCAGCCCTGCCACGTACTGCATAAGGCCTCGGTCCCAGCAGCAGCCCAGCACGCCGATGATCCAGCCAAAGAGGATGATGGCCACCGCCATGCCCATGAAGCCAGCCGTCATTCTGCGCAGGTCTGTGAGGAAGCAGGCGAGCAACAGTCAGCAGCAGAGCCTGGGACTGAGGGCCAGGGTACACCCCAGCTTTGATGTGGGAGCAGGGAGGGAGGGGCCCTCCAGGGGCAGGAAGGCAACCTGACCTTCTCAAATAGGAGCACACAATTTTTGCAGAGGGAGAAGCCCCTGTGGTGACTCTATCCTTGTGTGCACAAACATGCTACAGCAGTTTGCCACCTAGGCACAGGGACAGATCATCACAATATCGTGACTGTTTCTTCTATGCCTCGTTTGTGCCAGGCATACTGCTATCTATCTATGTATCTATCTCAACCTTCTGAGACAGATACGATCTTTATTCCTATTTGCAAATTGCAGCAACTTGCTGAAAGATATATATCTAGTAAGTGGTTGAACAGGGACTGGAACCCAGACCTGTCCAGTGCTCCCAGCTTCCAAACATAGCATCACTCAGCCTCTCCAAGAGCTGAGAACCAGAGAAACCAGCTGCTGGATCTGGGCAGTCAGGCTGCACCTGCCAAGGCCTCCTGGTCTCTCTAAGAGGTTGCAAATGCTCAAGGTGATGGTTATTCAAAATACCCCGACTTGATAGCATGTGAGGGAAAGCTATCAATGTGAGGGGGCGGGGGTTGGTGTTCTGTTCCTTCCCCTCCAAGCTGGTGGAAAGTCACACTTCCTGCTCTACTCTGAGTTCCAGAGCAGAACACTTTCATGGCACTTGCTTCAGCTCCTCCAACCCCAAGGTCAACCCTGCTTTCTGAGTCAGGCCCATCTCTGTTCTACGCTTGGCAGACCCATCAGCTCCAGGAGGAAGAGCGTTGTCTGGAAAGGCAGTATTTTTAGCAGGAGGCAGAGGGCAGAGCTACTGCCATGGCTATGTTGGCCACTCAGCATCTGGCTTGACTTCCTCCCCAGCTCCAACCCCTACCCTCTTGTACCCAGAAGCAGCCAGAGCTGCTTTCAACCCCCCTGCCCTTCCATGTGCCCACTGCACCCCAACCCCCACCAAGCTACGGGCACACTTTCCTCATCCATCACTCCTTATCTAGAGCTCTACCTTCTGACCTCCTGGTCATGCCACCCACTCTTCCACCCTCCACCAGCATCCACCACAGCTCCCTGGGACCCCTCTCCACCCACCCACATCTAAGCCTGTGCCATAACCCCGCCAATGAAGCTCCACACAAGAGCAAAGCTACTTATTCTGCCTCTGCCCCAGGGTCTGTGCTCCCCAGGGGGTTGCAGAGCATCCTGGAGGACCCTTGGGCATCCCTCTCTGTCAAAGGGAAGTGCCTGAAGTAAACCACATACATCAACACCTCATGCAAGCACACCCGCTGCTGCCTGGACAGTATTTTCTCTGAGAAACAAGCACCCCACAGGTCTCTTTGGAGAACATCTCAGAGACCACACACCTCAAAAGGTGTCCAGGTCCCAACCGCTCCATTCCTCTCTCTCACTCCAGTCACCCCATGGAACCCCAGCAGAGCAAACAAAAGGATCTATGGTGCAGTTTGGTTTAAGATCCCTCTGTAGAGGGACCCAGGCCACCCTTCTTTTCCTGACACTGACCATCAGACATTAACAGCCCCCCGCCTGGGAGGAAGCTGATCGGGAGTAGGGACGGATGGGGCACAGGAGGGGAACAGCAGCAGACCCTTCCCTCTGGTGAGGAGGGGCCTGCGGAGGAAGGAGGACAGGGCTCTGGTCACAGAGACAGAGCTCTTTGAGAGCCACAGGGCAGGTTCCTGCTCTACTAGGGTGACCCTGCCTGCCCTGGCTGACCCGGGATGCCTGCCCCAGCCAGGTAGAAGTGAGGCTCACAGTCACTTATGGAAACTTCCCGGGGTGCCTGATTATCCTGCAGCCCTGTACCCCCTGCTCATATCACCTATGTGTCAGATGGAACTGCTGAAAGCATCGACTGATCACAACAGGAGCTTGTGAGCCCCACAGCCTGCGTGGGGAGCCGCAGCCAGTCAGAGAAGCAAGGAGCACTTTTGCCCTTCTTACTGAACTACCTGTGCTGTCCTTCCCTCCATCTCCCCAAATGCTCTCTCCACGGCCACCAGCCCTGTACCTTAGTCCCTGCCTTCTCCACTATCACAAGAGACTCTTGAGTAACCAAGACCTGAGCTGCCATCTCAGTATACAGAAAGGTCCCCACTTGACATGAGATCTTATTTGGATCATCTCTTAGAAAAGAGATACTCTTTACTACCAAAGCTTCTACTCCCCACCATCTTCAAGGGCAAAAAGGTAGTGGATAGGGGAAAAGAGAGAGAACAGCTTATTTTCAATGAAAAGGAGGTTTCCCTTTATGGGGTTTGTGCTTCCTTACACAGGATGCATAGTTTTAGATTTTGCTTTTAAGTCTTTAATCCATTTGGAGTTGATTTTTCTACCTGGGGAGAGATATGGGCCTAGTTTCATTCGTCTGCACATGGGTATTCAGTCTTTCCATTTACTGAAGCACCATTTACTGAAGAGGGTGCCCTTTCCCCGGTGTATGTTGCTGCTTTTGTTGAAAAATCAGTTGGCTGTGAGTATGTGGATTTCTGGGTTCTCTGTTCTGTCCCATTGATCTATGTGTTTTTACACGAAAATCATGCTGAGTGTCTTTCAACGAATGAATAAAGAAAATGTGTTACATATACACAATGGAATACTATTCTGCCATGAAAAGGATGAAATGTTATCATTTGCAGTAACATGGATGGAACTGGGGGTCATTATGTCAAGTGAAATAAGCCAGACCACAGAAAGACATGCTCTCACTCATGTGTGGGAGCTAAATATGTTGATCTAATCAAAGTAGAGAGTAGAATAATGGTTCCAGAGGCTGGGGAGGGTGTGGACAAAGAAAGACTGGGTAATGGGCACATACACACAGTTAGAAGAAATAAGTTCTAGTGTTCGATGGTAGAGTAGGGTAACTACAGTTATCAACAATGTACTGTGTACTTCAAAATAGCTGAAATATTTCCAACACAAAGAAATGATAAATGCTTAAGGGTGATGGATATTCGAAATACCCCGACTTGATCATTATACATTCTATGCATGTTATCAGAATATCACATGTGCTCCTGAGTAGCTGGGACTACAGGCACATGCCACCATGCCTGGCTAATTTTTTTTAATTTTAGTAGAGACGAGGTTTCACCATGTTAGCCAGGATGGTCTCAATCTCCTGACCTTGTGATCCACCCGCCTCGGCCTCCCAAAGTGCTCAAGGTGATGGATATTCTAAAGACCCTGACTTGATCATTATACATTCTATGCAGGTATCAGAATATCACATGTACCACAAAAATGTACAAATATCATGTATCGACAAAAACAAACAAACAGGAAGTATAAAGGATCAGCACATTCATCTTCTAGGCCCTTCTCTTTTTGGTGTGTAGAAGTTTCTTTCTAGGAGAAACCCTATCCCATTGGGCAGCACAAGGCAGGATGTGAAGCCCCACCCTGCTGGAGGCTAAGCTCCCACCAGGCCTTGCTCAATGGAAGGCCTGTACTGTTCCCCAGGCTCTGCAGACACTAGTGGCAAAGGTTCTTCCTGGGGGAGTTAAGTGGAAAATGGGTCAATAGGAGGTGTCTACCTTGGCCAGGGATGGGAAAGCGGGCTGGGCAGAAAAACAAAATGGAAATGCAAATCAGAAAAAGAGGGAAGGTGAGAATTGTTGGAAGATGAGAACAAAGTGTTTTACATAGAAGAAAACAGAGGAAACGGCAGAATAGCAGCCAAATGAAGATAATAATTCCTCTTCCAAAAGTCTGTGTTCCAGGTCGGGGAGGGGCTGCCGTCCTCTAACACAGATCAGGAACTCTTTGCCTTCTCCCAAAGGGCTTTGTCAACAGAAGCTGAAGGTTGTGCTAAGTTGTTGATCTGGAAACAAGAATGAAAACCAGAGGCCAGGTGTGTGTATTTCCATTGACCTGGAAAGATTTTCACATCACCCTGAAAACCTTATTTTGCCAGGGCTGTGCATGAACAGCTGGTTACTTTGTCCTCAGACCTTTGTGGTAACTCAGGGAAGCTGCAATGACAACGTAGAAGGTAGACAGGACAAGAGATATTCCAGCTTTACAGATGAGGAGCACAAGATCCAAAGAAGTTACATAACTTATTGACAAATAATCTCACAACCAGCGTACTACAAAAAGAGTGAGTTGCATTATTGAGTTACATAAGAAAATAACACAGTTAAAGATGTACTCTGTTATAATGGCAGATTGAAAAAGAAAGTATCTAGCATTTCTTCCTCCTAAACCAAGCCAGACTGCAGTTATGAGATTTCTTAGCAAGACGGAAGTCTTCAGGAATGGGGAAAATAGGGAAGGAGGCAGGGATGACAGCAACAGAAGTCTGGAGGGCTGACGGACGCTGTCCCAAAGAGTCCACATTGGACCTAAAGAGTCAAATCTAAAGTCTGCATCAGAGAAGCTGAACACCAACTTGTGGAATCCCCAAAAGGCTCACAAACAGGCACCAACAGGTCCATTTGGATCTGGCCATTAAGCAGAAGGGAGGGTGAGAAAACAGAGATTTGGTGTAAGTTATTTAAGAGGGAACTAGATTTCTACATGCCCTTGGCCACTCCACATCGCTGAGGGATTCCTCTCTCCCATCATTGACTCCCGGGATCAGGGTGCAAGGGGGTCAGAAAACACAGTGCTTAGGTTTGGAGGTCAACAAACTCAGCTTAGGGTTGGCCAGCACAGTTGAAAGTCAGGGCATGGTACTGAAGTTCACTGCACCACCCTGATGGAGTTATGGACTATGAGCATATGGGCGTTGAGTTTTAGCATCAATCCCAGCTCTCCTCTACTTGGCTCCCAGACCTGGCTGCCAGGGCTTTGCCCTCCAGCCTAGAGAATGGGAGAGGACTTTCTGGGGATGACCAGCACAGAGGAAAGACCTATAGACGCTGGCAGTAACAGTGCCCCAGAAGCTGCCCCTCAGACCACTCTCCAATGATGCCGCAGTTGA